TAGGATGGGTGACCTCCCGGGAAGTCCTCGTGTTGCATCCCTTTTTTTTTTTCTTTTTTTTTTTTTGCTTATGACTTATCACCTTCGGAACGCCATAACTTTAAAACCGTGAGGCCAAACTCGACATGTGATACCTTTTCGGAAAGCCCAAAGAGAGCCCTTCGAGAGGGGCTATGGGCAATGGGTCTTCGTGCCATTGTTTTTTTTCGACACCAAATTTTGACGTTTAGGGGCTTTTCCGGGCCATTTTGTCATCCGTACCATATTTCGGGACCGAAATCGATTTTTCAGACATTGTTTGCGCATATTTTCCTTGTCTTGAAGCTCCTTAGAACTAGCTGATGTGGCCCACGTAGCAGGTGGGACCCACGGCGAATGATTCTTAGAGTCCGCAAAAAGGATAAATCCCATCAGAAGTCCGCAGTTAAGCGTGCTTGGGCGAGAGTAGTACTAGGATGGGTGACCTCCCGGGAAGTCCTCGTGTTGCATCCCTTTTTTTTTTTCTTTTTTTTTTTTTGCTTATGACTTATCACCTTCGGAACGCCATAACTTTAAAACCGTGAGGCCAAACTCGACATGTGATACCTTTTCGGAAAGCCCAAGAGAGCCCTTCGAGAGGGGCAATGGGCAATGGGTCTTCGTACCATTGTTTTTTTTTTCGACACCAAATTTTGATTGTTTAGGGGCTTTTCCGGGCCATTTTGTCATCCGTACCATATTTCGGAACCGAAATCGATTTTTCAGACATTGTTTGCGCATATTTTCCATGTCTTGAAGCTCCTTAGGACTAGCCGGTGAGGCCCACGTAGCAGGTGGGTCCTACGGCGAATGATTCTTAGAGTCCGCAAAAAGGATAGATGCGATTGCATTGCATGTACTAACGGATGCGATCATACCAGCACTAATGCACCGGATCCCATCAGAACTCCGCAGTTAAGCGTCCTTGGGCGAGAGTAGTACTAGGATGGGTGACCCTCCCGGGAAGTCCTCGTGTTGCATCCCTTTTTTTTTTTTCTTTTTTTTTTTTGCTTATGACTTATCACCTTCGGAACGCCATAACTTTAAAACCGTGAGGCCAAACTCGACATGTGATACCTTTTCGGAAAGCCCAAAGAGAGCCCTTCGAGAGGGGCAATGGGCAATGGGTCTTCGTGCCATTGTTTTTTTTTTCGACACCAAATTTTGACGTTTAGGGGCTTTTCCGGGCCATTTTGTCATCCGTACCATATTTCGGGACCGAAATCGATTTTTCAGACATTGTTTGCGCATATTTTCCTTGTCTTGAAGCTCCTTAGGACTAGCTGATGTGGCCCACGTAGCAGGTGGGACCCACGGCGAATGATTCTTAGAGTCCGCAAAAGGATAAATGCGATTGCATTGCATGTACTGACGGATGCGATCATACCAGCACTAATGCACCGGATCCCATCAGAACTCCGCAGTTAAGCGTGCTTGGGCGAGAGTAGTACTAGGATGGGTGACCTCCCGGGAAGTCCTCGTGTTGCATCCCTTTTTTTTTTTCTTTTTTTTTTTTGCTTATGACTTATCACCTTCGGAACGCCATAACTTTAAACCGTGAGGCCAAACTCGACATGTGATACCTTTTCGGAAAGCCCAAAGAGAGCCCTTCGAGAGGGGCAATGGGCAATGGGTCTTCGTACCATTGTTTTTTTTTTTCGACACCAAATTTGATGTTTAGGGGCTTTTCCGGGCCATTTGTCATCCGTACCATATTTCGGAACCGAAATCGATTTTTCAGACATTGTTTGCGCATATTTTCCATGTCTTGAAGCTCCTTAGGACTAGCTGGTGAGGCCCACGTAGCAGGTGGGTCCCTACGGCGAATGATTCTTAGAGTCCGCAAAAAGGATAGAATGCGATTGCATTGCATTGTACTAACGGATGCGATCATACCAGCACTAATGCACCGGATCCCATCAGAACTCCGCAGTTAAGCGTCCTTGGGCGAGAGTAGTACTAGGATGGGTGACCTCCAGGGAAGTCCTCGTGTTGCATCCCTTTTTTTTTTCTTTTTTTTTTTTTGCTTATGACTTATCACCTTCGGAACGCCATAACTTTTAAACCGTGAGGCCAAACTCGACATGTGATACCTTTTCGGAAAGCCCAAAGAGAGCCCTTCGAGAGGGGCAATGGGCAATGGGTCTTCGTGCATTGTTTTTTTTCGACACCAAATTTTGACGTTTAGGGGCTTTTCCGGGCCATTTTGTCATCCATACCATATTTCGGGACCGAAATCGATTTTTCAGACATTGTTTGCGCATATTTTCCTTGTCTTGAAGCTCCTTAGGACTAGCTGATGTGGCCCACGTAGCAGGTGGGACCCACGGCGAATGATTCTTAGAGTCCGCAAAAAGGATAAAATGATGCAGAAAGTCCGAGTTAAGCTGCTGGGCGAGAGTAGTACTAGGATGGGGACCTCCCGGGAAGTCCGTGTGCATCCCTTTTTTTTTTTCTTTTTTTTTTTTGCTTATGACTTATCACCTTCGGAACGCCATAACTTTAAAACCGTGAGGCCAAACTCGACATGTGATACCTTTTCGGAAAGCCCAAAGAGAGCCCTTCGAGAGGGGCAATGGGCAATGGGTCTTCGTGCCATTGTTTTTTTTTCGACACCAAATTTTGACGTTTAGGGGCTTTTCCGGGCCATTTTGTCATCCGTACCATATTTCGGACCGAAATCGATTTTTCAGACATTGTTTGCGCATATTTTCCATGTCTTGAAGCTCCTTAGGACTAGCTGAGTGGCCCACGTAGCAGGTGGGTACGGCGAATGATTCTTAGAGTCCGCAAAAAGGATAAATGCGATTGCATTGCATGTACTAACGGATGCGATCATACCAGCACTAATGCACCGGATCCCATCAGAACTCCGCAGTTAAGCGTGCTTGGGCGGAGTAGTACTAG